ATCTGTAAGAGAAGAGGCATTTTTGTGTGGGGGGGGGGACTTGTGCATGTGTTCCCTCATGTAGTCAGGTTTGTCCTTGAACACATCATGTGTGACCAACGCTTCCATCAGGAAAAGCAAACCGAAACTAAGCTTAAAATTGTGATAATTCCTCAAAAACATTTTATCCTACATGTGTCATATACAATTTCTCCCCAAATAAACCAAATGTAAAAAAACATTAAATTCTGCGTTCCTCGGCCACGAGACCAACAGTCACATGACAAAAATTCTGCGAAACTTGGACTGCAGGCTACTGAACACAGAGCTTTGAGGAGAGGTTGTAAGTAGAGGTTGTAAATATGTAAATAGTTCAATATATATATTGAACCCACAACATTTGTAACACTCGTGGCAACTCGAAATCATGTTGGATATATAAATTCCATTGTTTGCCAATTTTTGTAAGATACATTATCAAAGAAATTGAACTTGTTTTTCTATTTCTTTTCGATTTTTGACATTGTAACTGAGTTATACTACACAAAAGACATGTTTGAGTTCTCTCTACCTCCAGCCATGGTTGTGCTGATCCCATAGAGGTGGAGAGGACTTATCTACTGCAGTAAAGAATCAAGGCCACAGCGAGGCGAAACTGCTCTGGGTTCAGAGGGTTAAATACTTGTTTTATTTATAACACACCATCGGTAGTGTTCGCCATGTTGGCGGATATTTTTAATGAAGATACGAGAAAGCAGTCAAAGGGCTTTGTAGTACAAGAGATTGTGTAGATAGACAAGATCGTTTATATCTGTTAAATTAGCAATTTCATATACAAACTGTATATATTTCAATACAAGTAGTAAACAAGTGGAGTTGAGGATCCGTTTCAATGTGCCACCAGTATCTACATTTTTCTAATGGATCCCCAGCACCATTTATGTTGGTGCGCTGTGTCTCCTCTCTTCTCCCCTCCCCCTCCCTGTTCTCCCTGCCACCTCCCCCTCTTTATTCTACTCAGTCTGCCCTCCCCCCCCCCCCCCCTGCTGTGGCCATATTCGTACCAGTGCTTATATCCTCTGGTTTGAATTACATTTCTCTACCAGAAGTCACTCATGCATGCACAGTGTGTAGTAGTGTGTACTCTTGACAGACAAACTCTGGGGATCAACAAAGTCGAACACTAATAGTGGACACGCGGATGAGAGTTGAGGATACAACAAAACAAAAAGATCCTCAGAATTATTCATGCGTCGCTCTCTCTCACGCTAGTTTCTGTGAATTGTTTGTTTTGTTGTTCGGAAGAGTCAATTTAGAATTATTAAAGTGTGTTTGGACAGCTGACAGAAAGGGAACACTTCTCTCTCTTTCTCTGTGTTAAATTATTCAGCTGCAGCATTAGCTCAGTAGCAGCCCTGCCTTTAGGACTGATGTGATCAGTGGTCTGTGGTGGAGGATCACACACACACTCTCTGTGTGAGCATAGTAGGTTGCATGCTTGCAACTGCTAGCTGTGTGAGGCTGTGACGACTGTGAGTTGTGACTATTAAGACTAAACCTAATTGGAGGCATCATGATAGGATTTTATTTTTTAGGGAATTGACACATTTATAAAATATATATACATATATTTTTTTTCTTTACGGTTTTAAATCTGTGATTATTGTTTAATATGTCCCTAGAGAACAGTGAATCTTAGAGTCGCATGCTGTTCTGTATTATGAGGAATCTGTTTGTGATTATTAGATTTCATGAAGAAAAGGACATCTGCTTATCTGTGGCGGTAGGATGATGGTGCTAAAGGTCACTGGTTTTGTGAACAGTTTGTACCCAAACACTGAAGGTCAGCCCCTCCCAGTTTTGTGTTTCCTGACATTTATTTATTTGAATTTTATTTACATGTACAGTTTAGAACATAAATGTGCTGCACCGTTCCAGATGAAACCTTCTTACGCTAATTTGCATCTTTCGTCCCTCGACATGTCAAAAGAGATGAAAGCAACGACACAAAAAAAGAACACACAAGACACGTTACACAAAAAAGGATCCCTTGACGTGAAAATGATGAACAAAAAGTAATTATTTTTGAGTATACCATTGTAACTTCTATTTTGAAATGCAAAGACTTTACACCGACGTGAGCTCAAAAGGGATTCCTCTCTGTCGCTCTGATGAAAGCCGATCCAACTGTTGTGATGAGAAGACACGGAGCCCCAGAGGGCCTTCTTCACTGTGATTATGAATAGGAATGCACTAAAGTATGGAAGGTTATGGAGGCTTTGACAGAATGGTTACTAGCACAAGAAAAATGCTTCTCTAAGTTAGTTGGGTCTATAAGCACTGTATATTAAAATAAAATGTGGGAAAGAAGGTGACATGGCTTCTTTCTTCTCTTAAATAATGATGCAGCAACTATTATGTGAGGAAAGCTGTTTCACCAAGCAGAGTTTACATTTGTTTTGACCTTTTGTGAGGATGTTAGTAAGCTAAGCTTTGGACAGTCAGGTGTGAGCAGGAATGATTCAGGACGAGCGGGGTCCCGCCTGAGAAACAGAACATGTGTAGATGACTGAGTGGCCACATTTCCAGGAAAGGGAAGTGATGACGCAGTGGAGCGGGCTGAGGGGAGGACACAAACAGGATGCGATCTGCTGTGGTTTCCTGCGCATTTTTAGAAATCAGTTGTTGTTGTTTCCCCCATGAATTTCTGTGAAAGCAAAAAAGAGCTCATGCTATTTTCACAAGGAGCAGTGCCATTACAGAGTCATGGTGAGATGTCCAGACGTTCAGAAGACACCCCAGTTGATGGTTGTTTTGATTTTTTATCCGTCTGTTTTTAGGAGATGTTGAGACATCTCGTGGACAATCTGATTCAGAACCATTTTATTTTTGACTATGAGATGTTGTATTCCTCACGTCGGTGGCCGCTGTTTGTGCAACACATCTCGTCTTGGCCCTGTAGCAAGTTTCACGTCAAACGCAGCTGATTCAGGTCAGTGGCATGCTGCCAGGCCTGTTGAGACTCAGCTGTGGTTTTGGTGGGCTGCTGCTCAATCTCTCACTCTACTGTAGGTGTGTGTGTGTGTGTGTGTGTGTGTGTGTGTGTGTGTGTGTGTGTGTGTGTGTGTGTGTGTGTGTGTGTGTTTTTAAGTTCCCGGATTTCAGTCGTGTCAAACTTTTAGAAAATGTCAACGTGGGTGAGCTAATGAGACGCACTGTTATGAAATTAAGAAGGCACAGTAAGTTGTGTCCGGCCTTTTAAATCCCACGAGAGCGTGGTTGTTTTGGTGAAGCTGTGTGTCGGAAGTTTTCAACATTGTTTTCCCACGACCAAAGTAGAAACCGTGCTATGCATTGCCTGTTCTCAGAAAAAGGCCCCCAGAAGCACCCAGCGCTGCTGTTTGTCCGCTTCAGGATGTGAGGCGGACTTGGAGCTGATGTCATCTTTCTCCACTGCTGCAGAGGTGAGCCTTAGGACAGAAACCACGAAGGAAGGAAGGAAGGAAGAGAAGGGAAAGGCAGTGAGATTCACAGCCGGAGCAGGACAGGCAGATTTAGAGGGGTGCTGAAAGGTGGACAGACGAGAAGCATGCGATGCAGATTTATGGCGCTGTGTGTGTGTTGGTGTGTGTGTGTGTGTCTGAGACTCGGTGGTCCTCTTGTAGGAGTAGTGGCGGTGGGCGACTGGGCTGCGTGTCCCAGCCTGCAGTCGCCGAGCAGAAGTTGCATAATGGCTCCCATCCGTTCTATAGCTTTCCACTATGGAATGAGTTCACTCATGTGCGTGTGTGTGTTTTAGGAGCATTTTGTGTGTGTGTGCAGCAGAGTCGTAGCAACAATCTGGTTGTGCAGCCCCACGCTACAGCTCTGTGTGTGTGTTTCTGGGTGGGAATAGGAAAGAGCAGTGACCTTAGAGGCTGGCTTCAGAGGTTTCCTCCAACGTGAACTCTGACAGGGTCAGACACGGGGCAATGCCAGAGCAAGAAAACAAGGGCAGGGTCCACAGCCCGGTGCTGCTACACCCAGGGAAGGGAGGGAGAGGAGGGAGGGGTTGTCTTAGTATGGTATGGGGAGGGGGAGGGGGGGCAGTTCAAAGCTATTGAAAGAAAGAACGGATGTAGCCGAGTATGGAGAATGCGGAAGAGGGATCATTTTTACTTGTCCCTGAAATGCAATGTGGAGCCTCGCCTGGATTGTCTCTGGGCTCCACAAGCCCGAGCAGTGTGTATTTTTTATTTTCTCCCACAGTGCTGTCCCAAGCTGTTAGACAAAGAGGCAGGCTGGTGGATATGTGTCTTGCTGGGACAGTAGCTACTCACACACACACACACACACACACACACACACACACACACAGACTGTGTTGTGGCATGCCTGTACATGCAAGCGTACTGTAAGCGGTTTGTAAGCATGCGGTGTGTACGTGTGCTGCTGCTGCTGCTGCTGCTGCTGCTTGCAGAGTGGTGTCGTTCTAGCGGGCAGGCTGGCTGAACGCAGGATGACCCATCTCCCCCGAGGCTCCAAATCACTACATCATCATCAGTCGCTCCTCGCAGTGGAACAGATGAGATTTCACTCCCATCAAGCACTAAGCAGGAACCAGGGCTGCTTTACTAACTGGATGGTCTACCCTCATAAATCTGTGTGAATCCACAATCTACTCTTTCCCTTGAAGAATCACTTCACTTATAACCTCAATAGCTCGGGGATTTTGTTGATTTATTTTTTTCTCCCTTTCCATAAGTTGACACTAAGCTTTTACCTTTGCCTGAATTTGACGTCATTTCAGTGTGAACTTTGCAACGACAGCTGAGGGCGATTTCCAATCCACAACTTTATCCTTTTAATAGATTGCACCACACACATATGAGCATATAAAACTACTCTCTCTCGGTTCATTCCCTCTGGTCATGTTGCACCGTCTGTATGCGTGTGTGTGTGTGTGTGTGTATATATATATATATATGTGTGTGTGTGTGTGTGTTTACATGTATATGTGATGTGCAGCTTTGTGCTTTCAGGTGCTGATATGCGCTGAAGATGAGTGGCGTAGGAGACAACTTGTTGGAGCCGCTGTGCGCCGACCGCAAGCGTAAACTGTCCACCTGCGACACACCGGGCTTAGGGTGAGTGCAGTGGCTTCAGTTAAGCATCGATCACACAACGTTCCACTTTGTCCGCCGCTGTTTTTTGGTGTAAATGCTTCCTCCTGCAACCCAAACATGCCCCCTCCCCCCTGGTTCACACGTGTGTCTGCTGCTCGCAAAAATATCGGAGGCATCCGAACCGAGGCCATACGGCAACGTGTCTAATCCCCTTGAACCCCCCAGCAGGTGTGACAAGCGTCGGAGGGAACAGGAGAGCAAGTACATCGAGGAGCTGGCCGAGCTCATCTCTGCGAACCTCTCCAACATCGACAGCTTCAACGTCAAGCCGGACAAATGTGCCATCCTCAAGGAGACCGTGAGGCAGATCAGACAGATCAAAGAGCAAGGTACCACCAAAGTACACCCATACACTCACACATTATTATCATTTATCATATTTTATATTATTATTATTCAGATAGTATTTGTTTTTTTTCCTGTATTTGTTGTGGGGAGTAAACAGTGAGTTAGACCGGATCTTGTGAAGCGCCCTGCTGCAGGCGAGATGGTGCCGGTGATGAAGTGGAGTGTTTGGTTCACGGCCAGGCCGCTTCACACTGACAGCCCGTTTGGCTGTTTCGTATTGCTGGGGGTAAACGAACACCAGTAATTGAGACCAGTCCTTGGTGGTCGCGGCTCAAGGCTGTCAGTGACAGCGAGTATCTGTTAGTGCCAGACCGAGCTTCTCTCTGGGAGACAAATGACTCCGGTGACTCAGAAATCAGGCCTCTTATCGCTCCTACCCGTCGGTCCTTTTCCAATTGTTTTGCACAGTTGACATGATTGGATAAAAGAATATCTATTTTCTTCCAACTGTTTGAGCTCGCCTTGAGAGTAGATCTGTGAGGTTAAGTGGGTAAGGAAGAGAGAGGGCAATCATATTGGAATCTATCCAGAGGGTCACAGCTGGCTACTGCTGGCCCCGCTGTTTAGGTTGCCATAGTGACAGGAGGGGAATGATGGAGGGCCTCTGTTTTCTTCTTCTTCTTCTCTTTTCTGTCTGTTGTCCATTTAACACACCTTTTCTCTCCCCGTGTTTACGCATCTTTGCTCTTTGTCTCCGTGTCTCCTTTTTTATGTCAATCCTTGCTTTACTCTCTCTGTTTGCTCAAACAGGGAAAAAATTAAATTAAATCCAGAGTCATATTATTTGTCGTCTTGCTCGGTGTCTCTGGCCACAGATGGTTCTGCTATATAGAGAGAGCTATCTAACAAAGCCCCAGACACATGCTGATTTTATAAATAGAAAGGCATGCTAGTCATTCATCCGTGACTCACGCTGCCACCTGCTGGCCTGGAACAAATGCATGTTATTTCCTGGTATTAAGGAAGCAGCTCGTGAAAACAGTATGATCAGGAAAAACACAATAAAACAACATCTTAACAGGTCGTGTGCACTTCTCAAAAGGAAGGTCTTCTGAACAGCAGCTGTTCTACCCGAGTTACACCATGGAAACTGTTTGCAATATGCAAAGTACCAAATATAACAAATCCAAAGACATAGAAAGCTGTTGTAAAATGACAATTCTCTTCATCAGGAGTGTTATGTGCTTCATCTGTCCTCAGGAAAGAGCTCTTGCAGTGATGACGATGTCCAGAAGGCGGACGTGTCTTCCACTGGTCAAGGGGTCATTGACAAGGACCATCTGGGGCCGCTGCTCCTACAGGTCAGCTTGGGGAAAATCACTGTGGGGCAAAAAAACAACCCTTATTAGCTGCCCGGTGCTTCTTTAATCATTGCTCAGTTGCAGTTGATAGAAATGTCTCAGCTGGTTTATAGAAGGGCAAACATTAGTAACCAAATATGGTAAATGTAACGTTCTTATTTTTATTCATACGTCTTCTTCCATTCATCACTTCCTTTGTGTGGCCCCGCTGTCTTCAGGCCTTGGATGGCTTTCTGTTTGTGGTTAACCGAGAGGGCAACATCGTGTTTGTGTCGGACAACGTGACGCAGTACCTGCAGTACAAGCAGGAGGAGCTGATCAACACCAGCGTGTACAACATCATCCACGACGAGGACAGGGAGGAGTTTCACAAGAATCTACCCAAGTCTAATGGTGAGTCATGGGTTCAAACGCATCTAAGATCACACATGCCTAGATGTACGCTCAAACACAGTCACTCTCTCACACACACATACATGCGTATGACTATTTGAACTTGTGTTCACCTGTTGCCTATTTCTCTTTATTAGCACCAAATGGGGCATCGTGGGGTGGAGAGGCACCCCGGCAGAAGAGCCACACCTTCAACTGTCGAATGCTGGTGAACTTTGTTCACGGTCAGAGTCATGGGTTGTCGGAAGAGAGGCCCGGGGGCCAGCGCTATGAGACCATGCAGTGTTTTGCCCTCACTCAGCCCCGGGCCATGATGGAGGAGGGAGAAGGTAAAAGCCAGACGTTCTTGGCCTAAACTTAGTGTGTGGCTATGCTTTCTACTGCATTTATTGGTCAATGTGTGCATAAATGTTGCTAATAATACTATACGCACCTGATTTTCCATGTCCGGTTTGTCCCCCCCAGCGTAGTCCAATGATGACTTAACATTGCGTTGTCTCTTTGCTTTTAGATTTGCAGTCATGTATGATCTGTGTGGCACGGCGCATCATTGCAGTAGAGAGGACGGAGAGGTTTAGCACACGCCATGAACTGTCTGGTAAGTTTCCACTTTGCTGTGACTAAATGCAAGTACATTCCAATAGAATATTCATGTGTCGCTATCATTGGAAATATTTTTGTTGGGGATTCTGTGTACTTCTGCCCTTTTTTTCTTTCTTTAAAAAAAAAAATCAACACTAAAATATAAATGCTCCACTCGTGCTCATTACGTGTGCTGATATGACAATGTGACCTTTCAAGCCATGTCACTTTAGATATTGAGCGATGTACACCGTAGATTCTTAATTCCCTTCGGCACACACACACTGCATCTAACGTTCACTGGTCATTATCCTTTGTGTAATCCCAGCGGTGCGTCTTCTGTTGCAGGTAAGCTGATTGAAATCGAGCAGCAAACCTCTCTCAGCACCACGATGCGTCCAGGCTGGGAGGACCTGGTGAGGCGCTGCATGCAGATGTTCCTCCATCGAAGCGAGGGACAACCGTGGTCCTACAAACGACACTATCAAGATGGTATACAATTCTGACCCTCCCTACCATTTACCCTCCCTTGTCACTACCACTCAGTCGCTACCACAAATGGCACAGTTACATTAGCAGGTGTAGGCCACAGCAACTTTATTTCCGCATTGGGAGTGAACGTTGGCGAAGGCATGAGCTGTTATTAAAGTCATCAGGTGGGCAGGTTTGAGCATTGTCAAGAAGGCTGCACAGACAAAAGTCTACAAGGAATGTACCAGAACACAAGTCGTCTCGTTAAGACGTTTGGTATGTGGGACACGGGCCGTGCTAGATCATTAAGAGGCTCAAAGCATTAATGAGTCATCGCTAGTACAACAGCAAGCGTTACCGGATATGTAAGACGCATTGAATAACACTCTTGACTTTATGGGGTGGCAGGAAGAAAACACAATATTTTAAATCTCTCCACTTACTTTTCCGTACTGTTGTAACTCCTGTGTAATGTACGAGTCTCTGTGGGTTGGAGTTTTGTTCCACGCTCTTTTTCTTCTTACTCCTCTGATCCACTTTACCGAACTGTAATTGCTGAGTTAATTCAGTCAGCTTCACATTAACAGCTTTCAGACGGTGATCACTGGAGGCTACATGGCAGTTTTATTTATTACCAACATTAGCGACTATAGGTTGTATGGGGGGGAAAAACTCAGACTATTCCCAGCACTCACAGTACAGAACAGCAAGCATTAACCAACTGTATGGAGATTCAGCTTAAGTCCCTGCCACAACCTGGGACAGCTGTTTATAAGCGTTTTCTTTTTTATGTTGCGCATGCTTTGTCCCGTGTTTTTAATTCTACTTTTTTCTACTCTAGCTTTCCATACAGGCCATGCGGAGACCCCACTCTACCGTTTCTCACTCTGTGATGGTACTCCAGTCACCGCCCAGACCAGAAGCGACCTCTGCAGAAATCCCAGCACCAATGAACCGCACTCTTTCCTCTCCACACACTTGCTACAAAGGTGCAACTTTCAGGAATTACTTCTCCTACATTGGATGATTGTCTCATTGTGTTTGTTCTGTTTACATTTTTTGTCATCTGCTGTCTTCCCTTGTAGGGAGCAGAATAGTTATCGTGGAAACCAGGGTGGAGGCATGAGGCCTCAAAACATAGGTGTGAACAACCCCAACCAACCCATGAACATGGGCCCAGGAGGGGGCATGGGCATGAACAGGGGCTACAGCATGGCTGAGCAGGGCAACATGCCACAAAGAGGAGTGCCTCCGTACACCGGGGGCAACCGCATGAATCCCATGCATCAGATGAATCAAATGAACTCCATGCATCAGGTGAACAACATGGGTCAAATGAATCAGATGAATCAAATGAGTTCCATGCATCCAATGAGCTCTCCCATGAACCAAATGGGGCCCATGAATCAGATGGGCCACAATGGCATGCATCAGCATCAGCATCAGCAGCAGCAGCAGCAGCAGCATCAGCATCAGCAGCAGCAGCAGCATCAGCATCAGCATCAGCAGCAGCAGCACCAACATCAGCAGATGGGTCAGTTCCATGGAGGTGGACCTGGAGGTGGAGGGTACGGGATGGGAATGACCAGTCCCCCCCAGGCCAGTCCGGGTATTAATGGCCCCCCACACAACGTCATGGGTTCACCCAGAGTCCGAGGAAGCCCCAAGATGGGTGCCAGCCCCTTCTCTCCCGGAGGTATGAACCAAACAAAATCACAGCTTCCTAACTCTCACATTTTGTGACACTTGTGTAATTACATTGGAATAGGTGACATGTATCTGGTTGTGTCTTTTGCAGGTATGAACTCTCCCATGAGCTCCAGTCACCCTGGTAACTCTGGAGGAGGGACCACCTTCTCCAGCAGCTCCTTGAATGCCCTCCAAGCCATTAGTGAGGGAGTGGGCAATCCGATGCCCTCCCCCCTCACCTCTCCTCCCCCTCACAAGCCTGACAGCTCCCCGAGCATCAACTCCACCAACCATGCAGCAGGGGGACCCTGCAAACCAAGCCTCCCAGCCTACTCCGACTCCAAGAGCCCGGGCAGCTCACTGGGAGCTGGAGGAGAGCAGCAGTCTCAGCAGAATCCACACACCCCCACCAGCGAGGGCCCACCTGACAAGCCAGACAGCCAGGCCAGCAGAGAGGCGGGACCGACCGGGGGAGAATCCAACCGACGGGTCCCTGATATCAAGTGCCACAAGAAGCTTCTGCAGCTCCTCATCACCCCTACAGATGAGCTGGTGCCGCCTAATCACACGCCAGGGTCCGGGCCCGGCTCCACGCCCGAGGCTAAAGACGGAACCGCCGGGGTCACCAGCCCCTCCTCCTCAACGGGAGTGTCCTCCTCTACGGGTGGGCAACCCGGCGCAGTGTCTTCCTCTGGCGCCGCAGGACATTTAACAAGCCAGTCACTGCAGGAGAAGCACAAGATCCTACACAAGCTTCTGCAGAACGGGAACACTCCCGACGAGGTGGCTCGCATCACAGCCGAGGCCACCGGGAAGAGCAGCCTGGAGTCGGGGGCACCGGAGCCTGGGCCTGCAGCCGCTGGAGGGGTCAGGGGATCCGAATCAAAGCAGGAGCAGCACAGCCCCAAGAAGGAGAAGCCCCACGCCCTCCTTCACTACCTCCTCAATAAGGACGACTCCAAGGAAAGTGGTGATGTCAAGCCAAAGCAGGAGGAGCTGGAGGGGAGAGGAGCTCAGGGGTCAGGGGTCACCAGCTCTGACCCCCACTGCTTGGATGGGAAGGTCAAGTTGGAGCCGTCAGATGAGGTAAAGCGTTAGAATAAACGTTTGTTAGATGTAGTTTGAAATGCCGACTAGAACATTGTTATCTGATCGTTGTTGTGTCTCGATGGTTCAGGCGGAAACCCTGGAGACCATTCTGGGTGTCCCGAGGAACAACCCTGGCTTCTACCCAGAACCAGACTCCAGAGCAGGGAAGGAAGCGGGAAACAAACAGGGAAACGTGCCCGACAGTTTACATGGTAAGTCAGCCTATTTGAGTATCATGATCAAATCTCGCTTACTGTGGAAAAACACAGAGGAGTATGCATTACAGCCTACATGTTATGTCAGATCATTTCAAGTCTCGCGTGAGGTATCGCACTGTACAGGATTCCTCGTCAGGGATAGTCCTGGTCTGAGAATCTAAATGTGTGAGGGTATGTAATCCAACATTGGTATTGTGTGTGTGTTTCAGATGGGGAGAGAGGCCCCATGCCTCCAGCTCAGCGCAGTGCCTATCAAAGAGCCTTGTCCATGGACGCCAAGCCCATGGCTGGAGAGGGAGCAGTAGTCGTAGTAGGAGGAGGAGGCCTGGCCGGGAGACGGAATGTCCCCTGTCCCACTTTGGTCAAACAAGAGAAGATCGATGCTCCAATTCGACCTGGGCCCGTTCCCAATGGCTTTCCAGGGGGCATGGGTGTGTGTCCACCACGGGGCAACCCAACAAGTAACTTAAACACTTATTTCTTAGCATGCCCAACACAGCCTGGCTTTCTACTTCCCAAAGAGTAGACCGCATGGGGATATTTGTTTCTTTTCATTTTGTTGCTAAGCTTACTGATGAAAATACTAAATGTTCACGGTGTGTGTGTTGATCAGGAGGTATGGGCAGAGGAATGGTAATGCCTCAGCGGCCTCCCATGTCGGGGCCAGGGGACTGGGGGATGCCGAGGTCCAGCGGCAGCCCCGTGGCCGGACCAGGCCACCCTGGCATGGGTCGCTCTGGTCCAATGGGAGGACCCATGATCAACCGGTCCAACAGTGTACCCGGGAAAACCAGGTCTATGCTGCAGCAGCAGCTCATGGATATGGGTATGTCTCATGTGGTGTGTGCAACTGAAACATGTGAATGTTTGGTGCTTGTACTTAATTGGTACTTAATATGATAAAGTAATGCAATTATCTGAATTGCAATCATTTTCTGGGAACTGACTGGTGGATCATTTGACTCATTGTATCCACTCTATATTGATCATACGCTACACGTCTTCATCTGTGCAGGTACCAATGAAGCCAATATGGGCATGAGCCCGTTTGGTGGACATGGGCCCCCACCTCAGTCCCCGTCCTGGCCAGACTCTGCAATGGGACTGGACAGGCCAAAGACTAAAACAAACAGGTAAAACTTCTGCACTGGTCCCGACTATATCCCTCTGAATGTTTGCCAACTTGGACTTTAAAGGGAAAGTTTGGATGTTTTGAAGTGGGGTTGAATGGGGTATGCATCCATAGTCAGTTTATTACCTACTGTTCACTCGTACCTCATACAACCCCACTTCAAAACATCCAAACTATCCCTCAGATTATGGTTATCCCTAAACTAAACCCAGAAGCTGGTGTTGATGGTGTTAGTGACTGAAGTCTCGTTTCCTTGAAGTGATTTAACATTTCCTCTGTCGTTTGTCGTGTTAGGGACCAGTTTGGGCACCCCCTGGAGGAGCTACTGGGGCCCCGGATCAACAGCGAGGGCCCGAGTGATGAACGGGCACTTCTTGACCAGCTGGACTCTCTGCTCAATACCACTGATGTCATTGCTCTGCAGGAGATAGACCGAGCCCTAGGCATCCCTGACATAGTAGGCCAGGTACAGCACTCACTACAGTAAACATAATATTTGGTATAGGAAATAGTAACGCATTACCAGTGCTGGCACCAATAGGGCATGAGCCCAAATTTACTTCAGTTCTTCAAAGAGTCGTTTTAATATATAACACGAATGAAGCAGAATGTGTGAACTTATAAATGCAATGCAATTTTTACATGTATAGTTGTCCATTAGATGATACGACACTTAAGTGAACAGGTTGCTGCGGTCCTGATTTAAGTGCACATTGAGTTGAAGATGACTTTATATTATTCTCCCTGCTGTTCTAATTAGACAATTGTGTTTGATGTGATTTGTATGTGGGGTCTCAATCCACGACTTAATGTTAGTTTGCAGTAAATGACATGCAGCTTCTCTGTACCCTAGAACCATAGACCTGAAGGCCACCAGCAGGGCCCGGATCGAGGCCAGGGTCGGGGCCCACCATCAGAGCCTTTCCCGGGGCCAGGCTCCTCCTTAGGCATGGACCAAAAACCCATGTATACCCAAGGTTACTCCGGGCCCCCAGGGCCCTCCTCTATGGGCATGCAGCCGGGTTATGGTGGCAACACGATGCAAGGCCAGTCTCCTGGAGGCTTCAACCCCATGATGAATCAAGTGGGCCAGACGGGGGGCTTCCCTGGCATGACGGGTATGGGCAACCCCCGCGCAAACATGATGCGACCTCGCATGATTACTGCCACCAAGCCACTCCGACTGCAACTGCAGCAGAGACTGCAAGGACAACAGGTGATCACACAGACCCAAATATCCTTATTATGTTAAACATTGAGCAGGTCAGCTTGTGTCTTAAGTTGGCAAACAAACTGGCATATTTAACGCTTAATCTTGTCTCATCTGGCAGTTTATGAACCAGACCCGACAAGTCTTGAAGTTGGAACAGGCCCCCGGAGGAAGCCCTGCAATGCATTCAGGCATGCAGCCTGGCATGCAGCCCGGCATGCAGCCCGGCATGCACCCCGGCATGCAGCCCGGCATGCAAGCCGGCATGCAGCCTGCAAGCATGGCTGGTCAGGTATGTGATCAGCACTTCCTCACTTCTAATGTAGTGTGCATTTGCTTTTTAACAATATCAGCCAGGTCACCATTTGTGAGATTGTGGTCAAAACATTGATGTTGGTCTGCAGCCCGGTCTCCTGAACGCCCAGATGATGGCTCAGCGCAGCAGGGAGATGATGACCATGCAGATGAGAAGGCAGCGGATGATGATGCTGATGCAGCAGCAGCAGCAGCAGCAACAGCAGCAGCAGCAGCAGGGGCAGGGCCAGGTAGCAGCGAGAGGCTTCAGCCCTCCAAACGTCACAGCACCCGGAGGCATGGACGGCTCCATCGGAAGCCCCCCCATGAACCAGCCTGGACAGCAGGGCTATAACTATGGAGCTAACTATGGTGAGTTGACTGAGACAGTTTCCTCCTCCATATTCCATATTCGAGTGTCACACTCGTGACTCTTTCTGTTCTCTTGTTGTTGTTGCAGGGATGAACCAGCAGGGGGACCCATCCTTCATGGCTCCAGGAAGCAGCCCGCCAGCAAACATGATGCAAGGACGAATGGGAGGTCCTCCACAGACCGCCATGATGCCAGGGATGCACGGCAATCCACAGGGAGGGCCAATGTACCAGTCAGGAGACATGAAAGGCTGGCCACAGGGCGGCATGCCACGCAGCAGGTATGTAGAGGCAGGCTTCCTTCAACTACATTATGTAGAGTCACCAATTATTCAAGTGCTTATAGTTACGCATGACCATTTTAGCACAATACTCAATAAATAATTTTCCCGTTTAAAGTTGCAACGGTAAATGACTTACTTTATTTTTTCTGGTTTTCCAGCACGTACCCCCAGCAACAGTTCACCCAGCAGAGCAACCAGGGTCAGTTTGGACCCATGATGATGAACAACTCCATGGGTGGACCCGGGCCAGTCAGCGGGGCACCCGGTGCGGGTCAGATGGGCCAGAGGCAGGGCCAGAGGCAGGGCCAGATGCAAGGCCAGATGCAAGGCCAGATGCAAGGCCAATTAGGCATGAACCCCATGGGAATAGGCAGAATGCCAATGGGGCCTGATCAGGTAGGTAATACATTGTCACAGGAGTTAAGTGGCCTTATGTGAGGGTCAGCTCATGTTTTTAAATACATTTGAGATATGATAGACATGGGAAGGAAAATTCAGTTTTTTCAACCCTCAGGACAATTTGCACATCTCACTGTTTTCCTCTCTGCAGAAGTATTGCTGAAGACCTGTGGCTGATGAGAGAATCTGGAGCCTTTCAGCTGTGGCGGAGCGGTCTGAGCCCTGAGAAGAGCTGGACCTACACACACATACACACATACACACACAAACACACGTAGTAGGAGTTCTCCAGCATAAAACATGACGCAGGAGACTGTGCACAACTTACTGCTCCTCCTGGAAGAAGCGGGCTACAGGGACAACCGACGCCTCACATACTTTACCCCTGTTAAGGTGATGCACAAAACCCCAAAATGTCAGCGTGTGTGGGTGAGCGTAAACGACCTGGAGCTGTCGGGCAGTAGTCAACATCACGGCCGGGCTGCAGAACGTGACTATGGTACAACAAGCTGTGGCTGCACTTTACCTGGAAGCTTCTGTGTGGAACAATGATTGATGCAATATTTCTTCATCATTACAGCCTTACTAGAGATTCAATGCCTTCACAACGATGGGTTTCTTTTCTTCTTCGTTTTCCTTTGGAATGCGCCTCATTCTTGAAGTCGTCGGAAGCTATAAGCACAGTTAACTATGTTATGCAGATCGGAGCAATAACTCTCGCCTCTATGCTTTAGACTGTAACTGAGCATCATGACACCTGTTATAAGCAAACAAATGGTACTGCAGTATTAGATGTCTCAAATGTCCTCTGTGAATATGAATTGTAAATATTCTACAAAATATATCAAACATGCTTTTTAAAGGCCCATTATTGCACAAAGTATGAGACCTGGTTGTATTTTTGTGTCCCATAGGTCAATACTGATTTGGTTGATTTTTTTTTTTTGATGCTCCTTGCAAATATTGCAGGCGTGTTCGGGGTTTCCTTCCTTCGTTTTGTCATTTTTCTGAATGCTGTATTTTAAAAGTTTTCCGAAAAGTCATGTTATTCCATGTTTTGAGCGAGGCACTTTCACTTGTGGCGAGTATCTGATGAGTTGAAGGTTTCGAGCTTTCACGCTGTCGGGAGGTTTTATCGGAAAGTGGCGCGGAAGTGAATTCTGCCGGGACGGTCGATTACATGACATGATATGATTTTTTTGTTGGGCTCTGTGTGATGTGAGCTGTGTGGGGTTTTTTTTTGTCTGCAGTACGGTGAAGACGGGAACACAAACTCCTCAGTGTACCAACAAGCCTGGTCCTTGCAATGGTCCCCCCCCAGCTCTGTCTGTCGAGTGTATTTTTATTCACACCGTTTTCTTTTGACTGTTGTTCTAGACTCGCTGAATCTACCTTCTCAACACGCGCAATCCAAAGATATTTTTCCACATCTCTGTATAGTTTCTGGTGTACATTTTTAACGACATGTGTTGTAGTAGTCTGATGGTGAATGGGTACAAATCACAGATCTGTAAAAGCATTTGATGGTTGTGTACTGCAAGCATAAGGAGCATGGGGCTGAGGCTATCGGTGCAAAGAGGACTGGAAACTCAACCCCGCAGCACAACGTTTTTACATCCAGAAAAAAAAAAAGAAAAAACAACACGGCATGTTTTGCTGTGAAAGAGAAATACCAATGGAATGAAATCCACTTCAAGACATATCAATATCTCTTCTATCTATCAGGAAGCAACTTTTATGTCCATCTTTTGTTACTTCATGAAAAAAGGAACTTTGTAGAGTTTGAATGAAGTGCAAAAAGAGATCATTTGGTTTGTTTTTCTTTGTTTGGAGGTAAAATAAGCTGTCATTTTACAGGATGTATATTACAGATTTTTTCTGTTGTTGATATTGATGTAAATACAAATTTCTATTTAAACACCCTGGACTCCTGGCTCTCTGATTGTCTTCTGATTCTTGACTGCAGTTTACCCAGCCTGACTCTAGCAACAGTAAATATCAGCCAGTTTATTACGTTGACAACAGAATCGCTGATTAAACAAAGCTGTCGGGTGAAGATGCTCATGAAGGCCCAAATACTGTGATGCACTGACCTACAAACACAGACAGCGGAGGAAGCGTATTCAGCGTATATATACAGTTGTGTGAAAAAGTGTTTGCCCCCTTCCTGATTTCTTATTTTTTTGCATGTTTGTCACGCTTAAATGTTTCAGATCATCAAACATTTAAATATTAGACAAAGATAACACAAGTAAACACAAAATGCATTTTTTAAATGAAGGTTTTTATTATTAAGGGGAAAAACAATCCAAACCTACATGGCCCTGTGTGAAAAAGTGATTGCCCCCCCCCCCTGTTAAAACATAAATTAACTGTGGTTTATCACATCTTTGGAAAGCTGAGTTCAATTTCTCTAGCCACACCCAGGCCTGATTACTGCCACACCTGTTCTCAATCAAGAAATCACTTAAATAGGACCTGCCTGACAAAGTGAGGTAGACCAAAAGATCCTCAAAAGCTAGACATCATGCTGCGATCCAAAGAAATTCAGGAACAAATGAGAAACAAAGTAATTGAGATCTATCAGTCTGGAAAAGGTTACAAAGCCATTTCTAAAGCTTTGGGACTCCAGCGAACCACAGTGAGAGCCATTATCCACAAGTGGCCGGCCGACCAAAATTACCCCAAGAGCGCAGCGACGACTCATCCAAGAGGTCACAAAAGACCCCAGAACAACATCCAAAGAACTGCAGGCCTCACTTGCCTCAATTAAGGTCAGTGTTCATGACCCCACCATAAGAAAGAGACTGGGTAAAAATGGCCTGCATGGCAGAGTTCCAAGACGAAACCCACTGCTGAGCAAAAAACATAAAGGCTCGTCTCAGTTTTGCCAGAAAACATCTTGATGATCCCCAAGACTTTTGGGAAAATACTCTGTGGACTGATGAGACAAAAGTTGAACTTTTTGGAAGGTGTATGTCCCATTACATCTGGCGTAAAAGTAACACAGCATTTCAGAAAAGGAACATCATACCAACAGTAAAATATGGTGGTGGTAGTGTGATGGTCTGGGGCTGTTTTGCTGCTTCAGGACCTGGACGACTTGCTGTGGTAAATGGAACCATGAATTCTGCTGTCTACCAACAAATCCTGAAGGAGAATGTCCGGCCATCTGTTCGTGACCTCAAGCTGAAGCGCACTTGGGTTCTGCAGCAGGACAATGATCCAAAACACAGCAGCTTAAGAAAAACAAAATGAAGACTTTGGAGTGGCCTAGTCAAAGTCCCGCCCTGAATCTGATTGAGATGCTGTGGCATGACCTTAAAAAGGCGGTTCATGCTCGAAAACCCTCCAATGTGGCTGAATTACAACAATTCTGCAAAGATGAGTGGGCCAAAATTCCTCTACAGCGCTGTAAAAGACTCATTGCCAGTTATCGCAAACGCTTGATTGCAGTTGTTGCTGCTAAGGGTGGCCCAACCAGTTACTAGGTTTAGGGGGCAATCACTTTTTCACACAGGGCCATGTAGGTTTGGATTTTTTTCCCCCTTAATAATAAAAACCTTCATTTAAAAACTGCATTTTGTGTTTACTTGTGTTATCTTTGTCTAATATTTAAATTTGTTTGATGATCTGAAACATTTAAGTGTGACAAACATGCAAAAAAATAAGAAATCAGGAAGGGGGAAAACACTTTTTCACACAACTGTACTTCAGAAGAGATGTAATATACTGAGGCAGAGTGCTGCACTGTAAATATATTCCATTACAAGTAAGAGGCCTGTATTCAAAATTCTACACAAGCGAAAGCTCAGAAGCATTAGTAGCAAAGAGAAGAATCTGCCTCTATGACCGTTCAAGACATTATTGGTTTGTTAATATTAATCCTAATCTGTAGCATTTTTAGCTGGTTGAGATGGAGCCAGTTTAATAGTTTAATCTGGTGATTCCTACAGATCACAGGGTTCATCAACATGATTCATGGAGCTGTAAAGAAGAAAACAAAGTGGAACTGCTCACAATTTATCTGAAATATCAATTGTTTAAAAGCTTAACATGTATTTTTAGGGGAGACATGGCACACAGAAGTCCCAACATCATATAAACAGATGCTTTCACTGTTAACACGAGAGGGCGCTGTTGTCCGCTAACGTCACACACAGCAGCTCATACATGTTTATAATCCTGAGATTCACGTCCTGCTCGCACGAGGGCGCTGACTACAAAAGAGTTGCAGGAAGGGACATGAGGTTTGATTCATTTTTATAGACTGAGGGATTAAAGTAATAATGATAATTAAGCATTGGGCGAATAAAAAAATCCAAGACACGGTCCTAATTGGATTTAATGGTAAAACAATATCGAGTTTTACGGTGACCACCATAGCCTGGTCTTCATTTTATCTACAGCTCAGCCAGATTACGTAAAAAGGGGATTTGTAGATAATTATGTGTGATTAGAAATTCAGCACTGAGAATAATTTGTTCAGTATAAATGAACCTATTTAAGAATTGTATATGCTAAAGATGTATGTTGAAGTACGTATGGGCACTTCTCAGGCAATGTTAGAGTTCCATAAAAAAAAAAAAGGGAAAAAAAGAAGTTTATATATTAATAGCACATTTAGAACATACGACTGTACTGTGGGAATATCTACTCTCTCTCTCTCTCTCTCTCTCTCTCTCTCTCTCT